TTTATTGGAAGCCGAGAATCCATCAACTCAGCAAATGGAGTAGCGATGGGTCAAGGTAGCAGCGGTAAGAAGACTATCCAAACGAACAAAGATCAACCAAACAAGACAAATAAGTCAGCAAAAACGGAAGACCACCTACAACTCATACAAAATGTCCGTGGCCAGCGAGTCATCCTCAAGGACTTATCAAATAAACCAGAATACACGATGATGAAGAAAGAAGTGCAAGTTAAGGTTACACCTCCAAATAATTCCCTAAAGACGATAAGAACATACCAAAAATCAGCAAAAGTAACAGAACTGAATAATAATTCGAAATAAGTATTAATAAATATATAAGTGAGTATGAATAATCGCGTTAACTTAAAAATACTACAATGGAATTGTAGAGGATTAAGAGGTAAAATTTATGAATTAGATAGATTTACGCATGAATGGGATATCCTTATGTTTAACGAAACTTTTCTGAAACCAGACCAACCTGATTTTCATATAAATGGTTTTGAAACGGTTCGATTTGATAGACTACACAATAACGGAGGCGGTCTAGCTTTTTTAATTAAAAAAAATATGATTTTCAAAACTGTCGAATTAGACTTTAATCCCAAGACTCTGGAAATAGGATGTATATTGATAACTACTACAACGGGTAATTTATTAATAGTAAACTGCTATAGATCTCCAACAGGAGGTAACAATTTATCTAACAATGAATGGAAGAAATTTTTAGAGGCAGTAAAAAAATATAATGATACATTTTGTATTGGAGGGGATTTGAATGCCCACCACAAGTCATGGGGGAGTGATCACAACTGCTACAATGGTAACATCGTATACAATTTCACAGACCCAGAGGATTTTATAATTCTAAATAATGGTAATCATACGCACATATCAGGACCTAACTTTAAAAAATCAAACATTGACTTAACAATTGTTTCTCCTTCCCTAGCTTTGAGCAGTGAGTGGTCTGTAAGCAATGATAATTGGAGAAGTGATCACTACCCCATCTCAATTAATCTAGATATAGAAAGTGATTACTTACCGAAACCTCAATACAAGTTTAACGAAAATAAAATTAATTGGTCTAAATTCTATGAGTTCTGGGAGTTTAATAATAATCTTAACTCAATTCAATATATAAACTCGACAGTAAATGAAAGATACTCATTCATGCTTAGTCAAATAACAAAAGCGGTTGAATGTTCCTTGCCTAGAAAGAAAGTAAATAAAATAACTAATACTAATCGAACTAAGCCAAAAATAAGAATCCACCAACGGTATGGTGGAATGAAAACTGTGATAGGGCGATTAGAATAAAAAAGGCGAAGTGGCTATCTTTACAATATAAATTTTCAAGAGAGGAATTTTTTGAATATAAAAAAGTAGAAGCTCAAACTAAAGTTACCCTAAGGAAGGAAAAAAAAGAAGCTTTTCAAAAATTTTGTGAATCTTTAAATAGACATAGTAAGAGTGGGTACGTTTTTAGTAAGATTAAAAGATTTAATAACAAATTCACTAAACCAAAATCATATGAAGGTAATACAGAAATAATTACATCCATGAAAGAAAGCATTGAAGAAATATGTGCACTAGGCTCACAGTGTACTTTGCCTAAAATGGAAAATTTATATCAAGATAACCATTTCCTCGATATGCCTTTTGATTACGAGGAACTTACAGTATCTCTAGAAAATGTTAACCGTAAATCAGCTCCGGGTATGACAAAATTAATTATAACATAATTAATAAATTACCAGAAGCGGTAAAGAGAGCACTCTTGGATATCTATAATGACGTACTTTATACGGGTATCTTTCCAGAAGAATGGAGAAATTACTTATGTTACTTTATCCCTAAGCCAAATAGTAAAAAAGTCAGACCAATCAGCATGTCTTCTTGTTTATTAAAATTGTTAGAGAAAATGATAAATGAGAGATTAATGTGGTGGCTCGAACACAATAAACTAATTAATAAATCTCAATTTGGGTTCAGGAAAAATAAATCGTGTATAGATAGTTTAGCAATGATCATCTCAGAAACAGGAAAACAATTCTATAAAAAAAACCACTTAGCAGCTGTATTTTTAGATATCAAGGGGGCCTACGATAATGTGGACCCCGCAATTTTAATTAAAGACCTAATCGAATTGAAAATTCCGAGAAATGTTATTAAGTTTATATATAACTTAATCTCAGTTAGATTCATACATTTTATTAATTGTCCAGGTAATATAACCCGCCCTTCATTCAAAGGTCTCCCACAGGGAAGTATTTTGAGCCCGGTCCTGTTTAATATATATATAAATAATATAGATAACTTAATACTCCCGGGCGTTAAAATTTTAAAATTCGCGGATGACTTGGCCTTATACACGTCTGACCCACAAATAAGTAATAGCCTTAACCACCTTGAGCAGCAAGTCGGTACCATTTCGAATTATCTAGCTGCAAAAAATTTGTACTTGGCACCAGAAAAATGTAAATTAGTCATATTCAATAGATTAAACTTAAACACCAATAACTTTCATATTAATATTAATAACACCATCATTGAACCTTCACCTTACGCAAAATTTCTCGGTATAATTTTAGATAAACGACTAAATTGGAATCTCCATATCTCCCACATTATAAAAAAATGTGATATTCCGATAAGAATCCTCAGTTGCATCAGAGGAACTTGGTGGGGAGCAGATCCGGTTACTATGCTGACCCTATATAATTCACTTATTAGATCTAGAATCGAATACGGCGGATTTCTGATATCACCGTGTAAACCTGAGTTACTCGAGAAAATTGAAAAAGTACAATATAAATGCTTGAGGCTGGCTATGGGTTACAGAAAGTCCACTCCGACAAATATAATACTAAGTGAGTCGAAAATCTTGTCTTTGGCTCGTAGATTTGATACCTCCTGTTACAAGTTCTTAAACAAAAATATGGCCAGTAATAATACAGCCCTGTTGGAAATTATAGAGGAGATAAATGAAATGTCAGAAAACTTTATATATGCAAATAACTTCGAGAAATCATCTCTCATAAGTAAATTTGAAGAAACTCTCCTTTATACGAACATAATATATAAGTCAGAAATCCCCACATATTATCAACTAGATTTTAAAAATCAATTTGAACTAACTAATATAGACATCTTCAGTGGTGAAGAATTAAAAGAATCTAACGATGCAGAAGGACTATTCACAAAAATTTTTCAAGAAAAAATCAGTAATAAGATTGCTATTTTCACGGATGGCTCTAGATCAGTAATAGGCGATAAGTCATATGTGGGCATGGCAAACTGGTGTTCCAATGATCAGTTCACAGCAAGCTTCAAGCTTTTTGATCATGCCTCAATTTTCTCTGCGGAAGCCATGGCCATTTTAAAGGCATTGAAAACAATTAACGAGTCAGAATTAAGTAGCTTTATCATCTTCTCAGATTCCTTGAGTGTTCTCAAAGCTTTGTCAACCGTAGAAAATTAAGAAACCAAAATCATATAATCCAAGAAAGCAAGCATTTATTATCCGTTAATAAAGAACAAAATAAAGACATAGAACTGATATGGATTCCGTCTCATAGTAATATTGAAGGTAATGAAAACGCTGACGTTTTAGCTAAGAATGCAGCTCAAGAAGGCCCTTTTTTAAACCAAGAACTTCCTTACTCGGACATAGCTAACGTTTTCAAACTTAAATGTAAAAAGGAAAACGATTGTGATGTAATAAATAGGGCACGAACACAGGGTAAAGGTGCATTCTATTTTGAGCAATATTTTGCGCCAAATAGCAAACCATGGTTTTTTAAAACGAAATTAAGCAGAAGAGCTATCGTATCTGTGAATAGAATCCGTTGTGGTCATAATTCTCTCAAAAGTAGTCTTGCGAGATTTAATATAATAAACAGCGATTTGTGCTCGTGTGGGAGCCCTGAGGATATTAATCATGTCTTCTGGGAATGTAAAAAGTTTGAAGAGGAAAGAAAAACCATGGTTAAAAATTAAAAAAATTAAGACTAAGACCTCCGATAGACATTAGGGAAGTATTAAAAAGACTGAAAAGGGAAGAAATTGAAATTATTACAGAGTTTATTTTCAGTTGTAAAATAGACATTTAAGAAAAAAAAAAAAAATTTACTACTCGGTAAAAGTTCCTAGGCATTAATGTACAAGTATAATATTAAGATAAACACAAACTATATTAGTTGTTTGCTCATTAGTTTATAAATGCGTTAGATTTAGCTCTCGTTCGATACTAAGACCATACCAATAATTAAGCTATAATACGGAAGCCAAATGATAATGTACCAAAGCGCCATCTACAAAGACTGACTAAGGCTAAGCAATGTAAAATGGCTGTATACTGAAAGGTTGGCCAATAAACTGAATTATCTATCTATCTTCGGCACAGAAAACATGCACCGAAAGTGCCACATTGCCTGCACGTGTAATACAAAATAATATAATCAGAACGTGAGTACTAAAATAACATGAAATAATAAAAAAAGAATATAATCGGAACGCGAGTATATAATACAAAGTAATATAAAATAATACAAAAGAATATAATCGGAACGCGAGTAATAGAAAACAAAAGTAATACAACAATAATGAGAGGATATCGGCAGTTCCGGTGTGCACACGGATTTATTCGGTCGGTCGAAATCAGGTATACATATATTTATTAGGTGACGCGGGCCATTAATACGACCGTAGGCGGGGGACGGTTATCCCTGTGAGTAGGGATACGACGGTGATGGCCGTGGGATCAATTTCGGGGGTAACGGGTAAACCGCGAATATAAGAATTCGCTGAGAGTGGATCGTATACGCGTAGCGGGGCTCGTATGTTGCCGCGGGGCGCGTTCGCGAATAATCACGATACCCCCCACGCGGGAAAAATCGTTCTCTCGGTGAGAGAGAGTAGATGGTGCGTCCGGGAGAGCGCAAAAAAATTTCGGCACCGGGTAACGATAATTAATTGTAGGCGACGTGCCACGATCGTTCTGCGGGTAGTAGGATGCTCTGACCTGTTGCAATTCAGCAACACAAGAGGCTTGAGCTCCTCTTGAGAAGTCGGTGCAGCAGGGTTCGGAGAGAGAGCAAGAAAGAGAGATAGTCGGCCTCGAGAATGATTCGAGGAGATCGAGTATGTTCGATCCCGTTGCCGACTGATTTGGGAGAAATCTCAGACTCGGGTACAATGCTGGAAATGCGGCAAGGTTCGCCGCGGAGACCGAGTATTTTTGGTCTCTATTTCCTGAGTATCGTTCCGGAGATCTGGATCTGGCGGAATCAGGAGATGGAATCCTCTTTGCTAGGATTTCGTCGCTATTTATACGCTTAGATCTGCGGCGAATTATTTGGCGGCTCGATAACGGTATACGTACTTGCCGACGGCGGCATTCGGCTGAATCCGTCGGCCGTTGGGCGCGCTCGGCGGTACGTATACGTATATAGTACCTTGAGCCGTGTAAAATCAAAGTCGCTTTTCGGTGATTATAATGAGAAAAATTAGAGGGCGCATATGCGCCTGCTGCGCTGCCCGGCCGGTGTTCGCCGGGCGCACTTCCGACATTCGGTCGGGAACGATGGGAGGGTGCACCGTTACAGTACTTATAAGATAATGACTTGTTAAAATCTGGCGCACAATGTTTATAGCAATTATGACTTTTTCTTGACGACATGAAATGTATATATCTATTTTGTTTTGCTTATTTTACACTGTATATCGACACAAAAATAGTTTTATTGCCATTATTGCTAGTTTACTTAATCACCGTGTCTTTTGTGGTGCGTGTGCTGATGCTGAGCTATCTTGTCCGGCGGGCACCGGAATAGGATATTGATTTTTCGGATGGTGCTTTGTACCCATGATAATTTGTCTTTTGATGTTGATTTAACCACGTATGTATAAACCTATTTGAGCTTCGCTGATTGTAAAAATGTGATCTTGCTAAAACTATGTCGTTTTAATTTCTCAGATGCTGAAGATGGTCCGAACGTAGAACCGAAACGTACTAATAAATTAAATAATTTATCATTATTTGTTTGTGTATCAATTACCACGCCTGGCTCTTAATTGGCTCTGTTTTCCGCATATTATAGAAATGTATATTACTACATATAAAAAAATTAAAAAATAGTATGTTAATAATAGAAAATAATTAATTAATTTATCGATTTTTTGTTAACATATAAGGATTGAAATCTCGAATTTTTAATTTTTAGTTGAATCATAAGTAAAGAATCTACATAATTAATATAAAAAATTCGACTGAATGAAATGGACTCAAATTATAAGAATTGATAGTTTATAGTTTTATTTATTATTACAAGTTTTTCTATATATAACCATAAGTAATGAAAAATAATATATATCTGCTAGAACATATAATGTGTAGGGGTTGAGCATGTTCTATTTTATAGCAACATGTCTCGTCTATACTATCATCAATGTTAATAAGCTATATTATATTTATGTACAATCATTGAATAAAGGGTAAAGAAAGAAACATTTGCTGGATTTTTAAAAGTGAAGGATGATGCCGATTTACATTTTGTTTGTGATGGCGGATTTGATGACATCATATCTTAATCTTAAAAAATATTTTAATATAACGTTTTTTATATGCGTATAAATATGATTGAATCATTTATTAATGGATCAGTATATAGTTTTAGACCTCCCTCTCTCTCTCCCTCTCTCTCCTTCCTCTCCCTCTCTCTCTCTCTTCCTCTCTCTCTCTCTCTCTCTCTCTCTCTTCCCTCTCTCTTTCTCTCACCCTCTCTTTCTCTTCCTCTCTCTCCCTTCCTCCCTCCCTCTCCCCCCCCCTCTCTCTCTCTTTCTCTCTTATAGGAGAATCTCATCATATATTTTTCAATAAAATATAAATCAGAATAAAAATTCCTTGATTCAGATTATATATATGTATAATAATTAATAGAGATACACCGTTTCAATAAATACTCGATTAGAAGCTAGTGACATATGTATATGTATTTAAAGGGTATGTACGTTGACTTATATTTATTTTTCAAATCTCAAATTATAACAAATTGCCGAGAGCGAAAATGAATGAGTAAAGATGAGTGATAAAATAATGAAATTATCATTTTTTAAACATTTCTTAAACTAGTGTCGTTGTTACTATTACTAAAGATTGAAGATTAGAATTTATGCATAATCATAACAAAAAGAAATCTTTGATTCCTTATTCTGATTGAATTCAACTTGTAATCTTCAATCTTAGTCTTCAATACAATAATTTGATACCGTCCAAGTAGCAAAACTGACGTCATTAAACGTCAAAATGACGTCATTTTGACATCCAATGTCATTCAATGTCTAATGACGTCATTCGATGTTAAAATGACGTACGTTTTGTTACCTGGGCGGCTTTCGATCAGCTGCGCTTGTTAGCTTTTCAATCGTTGGCTGTCAGATAAAGATAAAAATAAATTCGAAATTCTTTAATAGATAAAAGAAGGATATCAAGGAATAAGAGAACATTATTTAAATCGTGAAAGATAATTCTGACATTTAAATTGATAATTATAGTAAAAAATTCGAATAACATAACCTCGAGTTAAAAATTTTTATATCTATATAAGTAATTAATTTAAAATTATTTAAATTAGTTACTTATATATAGTTACTTATACCATATATTTAATTTTCTTTGTAATTCTATTTTGTTTCTCGCTTTCCTTTTTTCTCGCATTTTTATAATAATTATTAATTATTATTTATAATTTTTATAATAATTATTAATTATTAATTATTATTTATAGTATATGGGCGAGGCAGAAAATCAGTCGATGACGGTTTGGGAAAACCCATCATACATTCAGCAAGATGTCTAAAAGATAATATCATAAATTTTCTTCGAAAATTAATTTCAATATTGATTATATTACCTTATGTAATTTCTTAAGTTTTCTCCGGATTTTTCATTCGCACTGTTCTATATATGTTTTGTCTTGACTAATAATCCCAAGTAGCAAGCGCGTACGCCATTTTGACATCAAATGATGTCATTAGACGTCATAGTAATGTTATTTTGTTCTTATGACGTCAGTTTGCTACTTGGATATAGTTAATAGCAAATTTGATTCTTCTCAGAAATGATGTTAAATTCTTCAAAGCATTCTGCTTTCTATTTAGACTTTTTGTTTTTTTTGCATATATTTTCGCACAATTACAAAAGTAACGCACAACGTGTCCAGCACGTATTTGACTTTTATCGCGAACTTTTATGGCAAAAAGCTATTTTGCCATAAATCGAGAGTTTATATCTTCAGTAACGATGACCATCCACAATATCTTTCTACACGTGTCTTTTGTCAACGGAAAATGGTATATCAAGAAAATATAAAATATTTCGCAATACATATATTAATCTTGATAAAAAAAAAAATCCAAGCCTTTTTCTACAATTTTTCTTATTTACATATTGTAATATAACAACAATTTTAAGTGCATTTAAATTATGGAATAAAAGTAAGAGCAAGGCGCGAATTGTCAAATTATAAAATACACATAATAGGAAAAAACATATGTTAAATCGTACTAAGAAAAATATTAAACAATATACTAATTAAATGCTTTTTAATTCAAATGAAGTATTACACATATAAAGGGCTAATAAGAGCAGAAGTAATCTGAAGGTTATAAAACTAATTTATTACATTTAATCAATATGTATTAATATAAACAAAACAGTTTAAATTAAAATTATAAAAATAGACTCGAAAGTTGAAACAATTAAGAACGCGAACGTTTTGATCCAATTTTTCGGATCTTCTTCAGCGCAGTACAAAAGCAAAATTAAAATCAAATAAGTCTAAATGTTTTTCCAATTATATTTTTGTTAAATTTTTAAGATAATTTATGATTGTGAATATGACACATTCTTGTAGATATATATTTTGCTGCAGACTGAGAACTTTTGTAGAAAATAAAATTTCATTTTTGTTATAATGTTTTAAAACTGAGTTTTTCTCTGAGCCGTTCTACTGGCATGAGGATTACACTAGCATCACTTTTGTTACTGTTACAATTAAAATATTGTCACATCATAAATATATGATGCGAGTAATATTTTATATTTTAACACCTGCCAACCTTGTAGTCAGAAAACTAGTGAGGATCGCTTCCCACAGTAACGTAATTGTGATGGCTTAGTGAGAGTCATATTAATCTTGCGACGTTTTTTCGTTTACTGATGTAACCGCGTTTTAAATATGTTTATTAGACGTTTATACGTCAAAAACATTTAGACTTATTTGATTTTAATTTTGCTTTTTGTACTGCGCTGAAGAAGATCCGAAAAATTGGATCAAAACGTTCGCGTTCTTAATTGTTTCAACTTTCGAGTCTATTTTTATAATTTTTATTTAAACTGTTTTGTTTATATCAATACATATTGATTAAATGTAATAAATTAGTTTTATAACCTTCAAAAATATTAAAATTGTAATCAAATTATTAAAGAAATAACAAAATTTTTGTATTTATTTGAAACTATGGTTCTTTGTCGCTAAACACAATTAAATTTACCTATCATTATTTCATATTGTAAATTAAAATTAAAAAAAGTAGTATTAATTTAGTATCATTTAAAATATTGATTTGTTAATTGTATGAGCTTTTAAAAATCTCTAACAATAAAATTAAAACATTATAACAAAAATGAAATTTTATTTTTTACAAAAGTTCTCAGTCTGCAGCAAAATATATATCTACAAGAATGTGTCATATTCACAATCATAAATTATCTTAAAAAATTTAACAAAAATATATTTTGTATTACACAGAAAGATAAATAAATATAGTATCTCGATATAATAATCAAAGGAGGGTGTTAAAAAAGTGTTGATTTTCGTCCTTAAGTGCAAAGTGTATAGACATTGAAAAATCATTGTTTAGATCTTTAGATAAGAGAAAATGACAATTATTTGTCTGAGGAATGATGGGAACATTACTAGAATGGCTTAAATGTATTAAAATATTATTTATATATAAACGGTTAATAATTGGAAAACCATAATTCAGAATTATGAGTACATTTTGCATGTAAAGATTACGGACTACTTTAGCATTATCCAGGATGCACCACGTGAAGGTATAGTACTCACAACTCTGACCACAATAATGGTTTTTGAGTTATTAACCGTTTATATGTAAATATTTTTTATTACATTTAAACCATTCTAGCAATGTCTCACTATTTCTCGGACAAATAATTGTCATTTCCTCTTACCTGAGGATCCAAACAATGATTTTTCAATATCTATTCACTTTGCACTTGAGAACAAAAAGCGGCATTTTTTTAACACCCTCCTTTGATAATATTATATTTAATTGTCCATTTAATTATAAAGAAAAAAACGAATGCCCAAGTAAAAAAATAGTATAATAATAATAATAATAATAATAATTCTACCAGTATAGTTTGGAAAAAGTTAGTGGTACGTTTTATCAAACTTCTATTGTCAAATTTATGAGTAAAAAAATAATCTTAAAACATTTCAACGCCCAGTGAGAAATGATGGTCAAATCGACGTTGATTCGTTGTCGAATCGATGTCAAATTCGTCGAATCGATGTCGAATCAATAACGATTCGGCCAATCATTTTTCACTAGGCAATTTTGCTAACGCTTCCATATATAGGATTAAATAAGATGAAAAAATGCTTTAATAATAAGTTTAATTGCTCATCATTCTCAATATGTGATATCTTAGGCATAGGGTGCCAAATATTACATGAAAATCATACCAAATAAATTTATGACGTCACTCACCAACGGATCGCTTGAAAATGAAACAAATATTGTGGCATTTGAGTGAAGCTTCACTGTAGCTGCGATACAATAACGTGAATATCTTAAAATATTTTAATTCTGTTTAAAAAATACAGTAGAGATATGATTTAGCATACTTTCCCCTAATAAGTTAAAGATTAATAATTAGCTTATAATTAGCTAATTATATATGAGTCTCGCAACATATAGTCAAGTGGCACAATAGAATGATTTTATTTTTTATGAATTGAGAAAATTTCGAAATTTCGTAGTGAATATCTTAAATACGCTTATAAATAAACTTGCGAACACGCGATACAAATGTAATAATATTTAATAAAGATGCTAACAATAAAAATGCTAGATGTGGTGGACGTAACATTTGCATTTGCTTTCATTTGGAGGAGGAAGAGAGATTATTTCTTAAGATTGAAATGAACATGTGGTCTAACATCACAAAACATGTCGATTTCTGAATTCGGACGGGCAGTGTAAGCTTGCAGAGTGTTTTTTTTAATGTACTGTAAGCCATATGTATCATATATTTCCGTTTTAATAGCGCGTTTAAATCTTTATTAAGCGAAAAAGAGCAAGACTTGCTTAATGTTTGAATCAATAAGCAACTATCACTTTAAATTAAGAACACTGCAATTTATATATGCGTTTCAAATAATCCTTTTTAATCCATTAATTTTTATTTTTTTATCC